GTCTGCATAATTTCCATGAATAAATGAAATTTTCCCTCAAAGTTGGCCCAATGTGTCAAAATATTAGGTCAGTCATGTTTAAATTTCATTTCTCAGTGTAGCTTGTCCTCTAGGAAACATCTGTTGGTTGGTCCAGGCAGAGTGAGAGACATATGCTATGTTTTATTTTCAGTGCTGTGTTAGTCTCACTACTCGGTTCTCCCTCCCTCCACTGGCCTGCGCTTTGGAGCCTCTTCTACTCACCACTGACTGGGTTCCTCGAGCAGATGAGGTTGTGACTGGTGTTATGGTGATAGTGCTTGTCACTTTGCTTGCACCGGGTCGTGAAGAGAGATGGTTCCTGGGAGAACGAAGGACAGTGCCAGTGGAAACTTCCTTTTCAGCTGTCACATTGACTGGTCGGACAGTAATAACTGGACTTACTCCTTCAGCTGGAGTCCCAGGGGATCGTTTATACTGAGAACCTAAGTGAATGTGGATTTTATTGTCTTCTGTAGTTATAATATTGGCATTGGAGTTGTATTTCCGTACTGGAGTTGGAACAGTCTGTTTTTCTGGGGTGACTTTGAGGATAGTCCTTCCCATGGGCATTTCCTGGGATTCAGGTGAAACTGCAATCTCAGCTGGTGCTGCTGATGTAGACACTGTCATGATCTGGATGGGGGATGTGGGCCTGTCCACAAATGTGCCTCTTCCACTTTCTGGGGTCTTCTCTCTGGAAAACGTAGTAATCGTGACGGGGGACATGGCTCGTTCTGCGCCAAGAGTAGTATCCCCACTTTTTTGTTTTTGAGACATAACATTTGGTGATGGAATAATGGTTATCCTTGGTTTCTGATTCCCTAAGGTAGGAATGACGGTGGTACTAGAAAAAAATTCTTCAGATGTTGGGCTTGTTATCTCCAAAGTCGCAGTACTGTTCTCATGATCTGGCGTCACTCGGATATGCAGGGGCTGGCCCTGCTTTGGAGAAAGGACTAGCTCTCCCGGGTGCCCTGGACTGGAATTTGTTCGAGGCCCTTTCTCCTGAGCGATCGGGGGGCCATTTTCCCTTTTTCTCGTCCATGGATTCCAAGACTTTCTCATAGTGAGCTCATTTGCTGCTGGAGGATACCTGTCTAGAACAGAGGATCGTTCCATAGGTTTTTTCAATCCCACCTGTCGAAGATTACTCATGATATGATTTTCTTCCTGAAAGGATTTCCGTATGAAAACAGCCGGCGTCTCCTCCTCGGCTGCGTCACTGCTGACCGCATCGGTCTGTACTCCAGTCGACGTCACAGGCACATCCACCATTCTTCTTCCGTTCACACTGGGTCTGAGAGCTCGGCTGTAACGCTTGGACAGCTCCAACTCTTTGGTCAGACTGAGGACCTCCTGCCCCATGCTTTTGTTCTTATTTTCTTCTTCCATAAATCTTTGTTGAAGGACAGAATAATCTACCTGGAGCTGAGAAAGCTGATCTTCTTTGTTCATTAATTCATGAATTTTTTCTTTAAGAGCTTGTACTTCGGCTTTTAAGTCTCGACTTTTAGCTTCTTCCAACCTAAATCTGTGTCTCAGCTCAGCTTCCTGGCTCACAACCTCTCCTTTCTCTATTGCTTTATTCTTGGCGATCTGGTGCTTGATTTCTTCTAGTTGTTGAGAGAGGAAGTTAGCCTTATCCTGCTCAGTTCTAAATTTCTGCTCCAGCTGATCATACTCATCCTCTGTCTTCATCAAATCTCCTTCGACCACCTCCAATTGTTGGAGACGTTTCTTCAGTCTTTCAATTTCAAGTGTTAGTTCCTTAATCTTATTATCTTCTGGGCAGGTGAGCTCAGGTCCTTTCCGAGATCTTCCCCTTGTTATTTCTCTTTCCACTTCCTCTATACCATCGAGTCTCTTCTTTAATAAGTCAACACTGCAGCTTAATTCAGAGGATCTTTCTTCTTCACTTTTCAGTTTGCCTATCAACTCATCTCTCTCTTTTGTCAAATTGTATACCTTTTCCTCCATTTCAGATTTCAGTTTTAAAAGCTTCTTACTTTCTTCGATTAGTTTTTCAGTTACGTCCATAACCTTTCCTTGTTCCACCTTAAAATTTTTATTGAGTCCATCCACTTTTCTCTCTTCTTGCTTTATTTTTTCCATCATATTTTTCCTTTCATCAACCAGCATCACAGTAAATGACTTCAATTTCGTAAGATCATCTTTTAGGCTTAATTCAGCTTTTTCCAATCTACTTTCAGAACATTCAAGTTCTTTAACTCTACTCTTGACCACTTCCAATTCATTTAGCAGGTCTTTGGTTAAGTTCTTTTCTTTCTCCAGATTTAAATGTAGCTGGGTGCATTCAGATTTACTCTTGCTAAATGCTTCTTCCAATTTCTCCAGTTCAGACATTCTCTTCTGTAGCTTCTCAACTTCAATTTTGAGCTCCTTACTATGGTGTTCTTCCTCTTGCAGCTTCTTCCGCAATTCCCTGCACTGGGATTCCGTTTTAGTGATCTCCTCGTCTTTTCCCTCCATTTCAAGCACGCGCTTTCGGAGATTTTCCACTTCCGCCATGAGGCTGGAGTTTCCACATTCCCCTTTGGCAATTTTATCTCTTAGTTCTTGAAGTTCTTCCTCTGCCTTTTGAAGATTTTTGTTGGTCTCTTCTAGCTCCTCTATTCTTTGAGTTAAGCCAACCAGCTTGAGTCTAAGTTGCCTGTTGTGAGACTCTTGATTGGCTAATTTAGCATTCATCTCTTCATGCTCTTGAGAAAATCTTGAAGCTTTGTGCTCAAAGTCCACTTCTAACTTGAGCAATTTCTGTCTGTCTTCTTTGGATTTGGAAGTAATGGCTCTGAGCTTTTCTTCTTCTTCCCTCAGTTTCTGAGTAAGATCCTGTACTTTTTGGCTTTGCAGGCCGAGTTGCTCAATATGCATTTGTCTTTCATCCACCAGCATGAGTGCAAAGGACTTGAGTTTGACAAGCTCATCTCTTAGTTTATTGAGCCGTTTAGCATTTTCCTTTTCTTTACGGGCTTGGTATGCCTTTTCTTGTTCAAGGAGCTTTTTCAACCTAGAAAACAAAATGTAACTGTACGTTAAAAGAATAATCAGCAGATAGGTTTAAGTCTTGATATTAAATAAAAAAAACAAAAGGCTAATACAATAAATCTCTTATTGATGGCTATAATATCAAATTTTTAAAAATTGCCATTAATGAAACTAATAAGAAGTCAGGATACTGGTTATCCTTAAAGAGGGGTAGTGAGCAGAAAGGGGCATAAGGAGGGCTTTTGTGGTGCTAGTTTCTATCTTGTAATTTACATGCTGGTTATACAGGATTGTTTAGCTTATGAAAATTCAGTAAGCTGAGCACTTATGTGTACCTTTCTGCATGTATATTATACTTTAATAAAATAACCATTAAGTAAAACTTAGGTCGTGCAATAATAATGACTATTTCTATGGTGTTTTCTGTATTCTAGGCATTAGTATTTATTTTATCCTAACAGCATCCCAATGAGATATGTATTGCTACTATCATCACCACGAGGAAAATGAGACACGGGAATATTACATAACCTGCCAAAGATCACACAGCAAGTAAGTGGCAGTTCTGGGATTCAAATTCAGCCAGAAGGCTCCAGAATCCTTACTCCTCACCTCTGCATCTTATGATTTCAAGAGAGGCCATGAAATCATAAATCCCTTAAATGAAAGGCCCAAAAAGAAGAGCCTTTGGATTTTCTTATTTTCAACACTTGAAATAAAGTATGCAAATATTACCTGATAGGGAAAAGGTAAGATGGGCTTTTTGATACAAAAGCTGATCTATATAAACGGATTTTAGTTGACGTCAGAATTGGCACAGGATTTTTTGATTTAAACGTTTTTTTTTTTGATAGAGAACTAGATAGAGAGGAAGTCTGTATTACTATCAATACAAAAATGTGGCAGCCACAGGAATTATTATGTTTCACATTCGTGAATGCATTTTCTCTATGGTGTTTATGTATAGCTTTAAAAAGAAATATAAATATGCGAGGATAACTATTTACCATTCTTGCATTGGTCAGTTAACTTGTACCAATTTTTAATAGTTATGTTTATATATCCATAAAAACAGAATTAAAATTATTATCATATTCACCATATGAATATATGAATATTTTAGTAATTAATAAGTTTATTAGAGAAGCACGTTATAAACAATCACTAACATGTACTTACTTGTTTTAAGGACACTTTATTCATTCAATATATTTTGTGCCTTTATTATTCTGACTGATTTATTTCATATTTATGACTAGATTAACCAAGTAAATATTTGCATTGTGCAAGAAATGATTGTACATACATTTAGAAACTATTTTGAATTAAATCTGGTGTGATATAATTACTATAGAAATGACTCTTATGACGTCATTAAGATTTTTTTCATAGAATTTGTTTTTATAAAGCATATTGTTGTGTCTAAGCTTCTCTAAACTAAATGCATAGCTTCCAAAACCAGTATGCCCTTATGACTTAATCCCTAAAATGGGAGGAAAAGATCATTTTCAATTCCTACAGACTCACATGAGCAATACTGTAATAGCTTCCCTAAATGTGGTCCTTATATGTGTAAAAGGGCATTTTACTGACCATCTTCTCTTGGAGTCAAAACAACTGAAATAATGTCATGGAATCACAGAGTAAGAGAGACTTTTCAAGACATTTTCAACATAAAATGCCATTTTCAAATTTCTTGACCTTAACTAGACTGACAGAGATGAATTCATTGAAAACATCACTGCTTTCAATTCTAAGCTCAAAATGTTAAAGCTTCTAAAATTAATTTTTTTGAGAATTCTATGCCTCTATGCTGTTAGAGGCAGTGGGGCTGGAGCAGCTAAAACATAGGCTTTAGAGCGAGACAAAGCCAAATATGAATTCTGGCTCTGCCACTTCCTAACTATGTGATCTCTGGCCAATCGCTGAAACTCTCTGACCCCCAGTTTTTTCACCTGTAAAGGAAGGAGGGAGGGATATGAACACCTACCTGATAGGATTGTTCTGAAGATTAATTGAAATAGTGGAAGTAAAAAGAATGACACATAGACTCAAGACATGGATATAATAAAACCCTAAAACAAATATAAGAACTAGAGCATATGCTATTTCCTCCATCTGGAAAAACTCTCAGTGCTTTTTATGTTTAATCAATAAATATTTTCATGTTGTTATCCTGTCTTTGATAGTAAAAACCTGGGGCACTAGTGCTTTAGCCAGAGAAAGGCAGAAAGCATTCTGAGAAGTAGGAAATCCCATGAGCTAGAGCATGACCTTGGCAGGAATTTGGCTTCCAGGAAACCACATTTTTCAGGTTCTCCTAGCTGTGATTATTTCAGTCTTTCTAGCCCCATTAGCTCTCCCTCCTACCTTCTTTTATCACATCTTAATCCATTCCCATCTCATAGTTAAAGTGGACCTCACAGCAGTATAGGGTCCATTCTCTGTATGCTCCCAAAACCCACTTTCCCATTTGGTGCAGCTGAGGGGTCAGACCCAGGACCAACGTAAAGTTGCTCAGTTCAGTTTGGAAGGCCTGCCTTCAGTGCAAATAGACCTACATTCAGACTTCTCATGGGCAAGACATTGGGGATGGGAATGATGGAATGAATTGTGAGGACTTTGCCAAAAGTAACTGTCATGGGCTTTGTGACTGCTCACTTTTTGGCAAGAAGGGAGAGAGAAAGAACGAAAATATTTCTACAGCCAGGTGCGGTGGCTCACACCTGTAATCCCAGCACTTTAGGAGGTCAAGGCGGGAGGATGGCTTGAGCCCAGGAGTTTGAGCTAGTCTGGGCAACATAGTAAGACCCCATTACTCCAAAAAATAAAAAAAGAAAAGAAAACATTTCTAGGCTTTAGGTTTGAATAATTGCAAATAATGATACCATTAACAGAAATAGGAAATACAGATGGGAAAGGGTTTTGGTAGAAAATTGACACAAGATAGTCAAGTTGAAATGTATAAGTAATTAGAAATGTAGTGCTTTGGAGATAAGTTCTACACATTTTACAGCCCATATATATCTTGACTCTATTGCCCTAATGCCTCCCCACTGTCATCACCCCAGTCCACAGCTCTACCATCTTTTGCTAGTAATTCTGCCAACAGCCTCCTGACCGGTCTCCTCACATCTCAGCTCTGCTACTTATTAGCTGTATAATCTTGGATGAGTTAGTTAACCTATCTATATACCTCAGGTTCCTCACTTCTAAATTGGGCATCAAAATAGTACCTAATTCACAGGGTTTGTGTGAAGTGCATATTAGTTAATGTCTGAAAAGCACAACAGTGCCTGGCCCATAAGAAGTAGATTTAGCTGTTATTATTATTATCATCATCATCATATACTCTCACCCAAATGTAAGTATGATCATGTCACTCTTCTGCTTTCTATGGCTTCCTATTGCTCCAGGAATAGAGGTGTGAAAGCTATAACATGATTCAGCATGATTTAATTCTTGACCTCCTTGGCAGGTTCATCTCAAGTCAATACCTCCCCTGTAATCTAACATTCTTTACATATGCTGTGCCCTCTGCTTAGTGTTTCCTCCTTGCTCCTCTGTTCATTCTGACACACACACCTAAACATGCCTGGCTTGGTTTTTCATCCTTCAAGATTCACTTCAATGTCACTTTCTCAGGAAGCCTTCCCCAACCAACTCGATTAAGTCAGATCTTCTTATGGACTCCATAATACTCTGCAGTCTTCCTTTGTAACACTTACCAACTCGTAATTTTTTCATGCCTGTCTACCTCTGTTTATGCAAGTTCCATGAAGGCAGGTGCCATGTCTGTCTTGTTTACACCCTAGCACAAAGCCTGACACATGAGAGGAGCTGAAGAAATATTGACTGAATGGATAAACAAGAGGAAGAATGAACAAATAAGCTTGAGCTAGAAATACAGATTTGAAAGTTACCTATATAGAGATGTGCTAACTACAGCTCCTCACAATGCTGAGCTGAGTATAAATTTTTGTTGAATGGATATCACAGTTGTTAGTAGGCCAGTAATTTGATATTATTAGTGTCTCTGATCTAGTGAGCGGTGGCCTCTCTTGAAGAATGTGGTCATTCTAGTTGTCAGTCTCCTAGACAAGTATGTCTCTCAACTGGGAAACCTCAGATGGGGAGGGAACCCTCTCCCAGAGGACTGAGCAAGGTATTCTTTACTGTCTACCTTTAGCACTGGAGGTTGAACAACCTCTGTTTAACCTATAAATGGCTATGAGAATATTAGAACCCAAACAAGAACAGGCTAAGTTAAAGCTTCCTGTCTCTCTCAATGGTTTTATGTTCTTTTTATGTCATCTTTATTTTATCTGCTGGTTTGTTTTAGTTCTTTTTTTAAAAATTCTAACCTCTGCTACAGAGAAACTAAGGAAGGGATTTTGATCCACAGTTGGACCAGAACTTTAATGTTGGAGCAGTACACCCTGGGACCTAGTGGGAGGAACAGTGGAAATTAAAGTGAGGAGATGTGAGGAAAAATGAGGAAAATCACAAGGAATCGCGGGGCCTCTTTGTCAGCCATCCCTCCCTATGTAGAACTCTTACAGTGCTTGAGCTTGTTGATTCTTGGATTTTTATTTCCATAAGTGAGGTGATATTCCCTTAGACATAGAAATAACTGTGATCTCCAAAGAAGAAAATAGATAAAAAGAAAAAAAGGAAAGGATAGAGAAAAAACTTTGGGAAATGCCCCAAAATAAGGGACAAAGAGAACAATAAAGGGCTATCAAAGGCAGAGAGAGAAGAGGAGAGAGAGATAAGAATGAAGGAACCATGGAACAACACAGGAGCACCAAAGGAAGAGGGTTTTGGGAAGGCAGGGACAGGCTCCTGCCTCGCTTTATGTCACCCCCATATCTAGAAATCCTCATTTTACATTAAGCAAGCATTCAAAAGCATTAGCATGTGTCTATCCACAAAACATAATGCCTATGGCATATTACAGCTCTTTTTCTAACAATTTTCTAGTAGTTACAATTTCATTTTGTACTTCAAACAATTAATTTG